AGAAGAGTAAAAGCACAAGCCCGAGGTTGCAGCAGACAAGCAGACATTCAGAGATAGGTTGGGCAAGCCAAGTTCAAGGCTCAAGTGAAGCAGAAACTAGCTGAAGACCACTCAGCAATCTGTTCATTTCATAGTCCAGCTTAAATGAGCCAGTAGAGGGTTTTGTGCAGTGAGCCTTTGCTCAGAATTATGAGCATGTAAGAACACGTACTGAGCTTCTCTTACACCATCTTTGTAGTGGTCTGCCAAACACAGGCCAGTCGGGCTCAAACAATGATTTAGTTCATATTTTGGAAACCATGTTGTCATATTAAGTCAATGGCTGGACCTCTGTTGCTTCTTCACCCAGAGTTTTAATGCAATGCATTTTAATGTACAAAATACTGCAAGTTAAAGAATACCACACTGCAACGGAACACTATAGCATGAAGAAACCCTTAAAGTGAATGTAGAGCTGAATCTTTTTTAACTTTTGGATAGAGTACAGAAGAGCTAAATTCCCTTCCCTGTTATTTTGTTGCTATCTGTTTTTAATGAGTAGGACCCTCTGTGTCCTCTTGTACCAAATGGTATTGTAATGTTTACCTTAATTTTGTAAAGTGCTGGACAAACTGTTGGCGCTATGTAAATCCTATATAATAATAATAAACATCTGTTACAATTGGGGGAATTTCCATTCAATTCCTGTCCTGAAGGTGCAACAGGAAGTTAGAGAAAGTCTACCAAAGTGAGGGAAACTACCCTCTTAGACAGCTGTCACTGGAACAGGAGCTCCCATTGGAATATTTGTCCTTGCCTTTTTATCTAGAGACAACATTTTTGACATAGGTTTTTAACCCTTCCTCATTCTATCCAAAACTAAAAAAAAAAAAATATGTGCCTAGGGATATACTTTAAATCTCTAGACCTGTCACAATTTTTTTCTTACTTTTTGAATAGTGTGGAGGGTTTATATAATGTCTGTTTCCCTGTTGAAGAGAATCCCCTACACTGTTTTATCTAACAAATGCCAACCAGATCCCAACAGGGACATGGACACTATGGGGTCTGCTGTACGAATGTGACAAAAATTTCACACAGGCCCACCGAAACTTGGCACATCTATGTTGACTATGATCGACTGTACTATCTGTTCTTATCGGTGTCCATTATGGGTGCTCTGCCATCATTATTGCTTATTGGTAGGAATGGCTGGCTGTATAGTATGATGGGGGTTCAGAGAAGCATTCCCAATAGGGGAGGACTCTGAATGGGCATGCACCATGTAAGGTGTGGGTTGGTAGTACTCCCTTGGCGTGAAGGTTCTGAGGAGCCCAGTGTCTCTTGATTTGAGTAAAACTCCCTGGTCTAGACATGGGATAGGAAGGCAGAGAATCGAGATGTCTTTGTCCCTTGGGGGTTGGCCACCCCAGGGGTGCTCTTAGTAATCGTATGGGCCTGAGAAACCCACTGAGTGAATGAGCACATGGTCACATCACTGTTCGTTTTTTCTGCAGTGCACCTCTTCGGACTGGTCCTTATTGCTAAGTGTGGGCAATATTTGCTATCAGGCCACAGCGCTGAACAAATGTACTCTGCATTGGCACTTTTTTTTTTTTTTTCTCCATGAGTTTTTCTGTGTTTTTTTTTTACTCTGAGTTAGAATGTGGGTCCATAGGCCTACCCTAAAGTCTAGGTGAAGGATGTTTGGCTATTAGGATCCTTCCTCCCCTGAACCAGGGGTTGGGGGGAGGTCTCTCACCTAGTACTCGGTGGTCGGCTTCCACTGACCCTAAAAAGAGAGGGTCCGCCAGGCCTTATGACTAGGTGGACCATGTTGTACCTTGCCCCTGCCAGGAGGGGCAAGGTAAGGGTAGAGTCTTACTTCCTCTGGAGGTGGACTAGAGACACACCCGTAAGTGCATTTTTTGTGAGTGTTTTCCACGTGTCCATTTTTTGTACACTTAGGTCTTTCATTTGTTAGCACCACAGTGGGTTAAAAAAATTAATTAAAAAGCCTATGACTGTAAGCACCTTCTTGTGGCTATAACGCCATATTTTTTTATATACCTCAATCAGGAAAAAAAAAGTATTATGGCTACCAGATGGCACTATCAGGTGGTGCAAAACATATGACAAGTTTCATTAAAAAAGTTTTGCAGTTTTCCAACGATCAGATTTGCTTTTTTGCTGTTACTATGCAAAAATGAATAGTAAAAACAATGTACAGTATGCGTTATTAATATACAGTATATTACTATAATATATATATATATATATATATATATTTAGTATATGTAAGGGGATTGTTACCTTCACCTTGTGTGCTAGCTGCTACCCAGATATCGCCAGCGCTCACCTATATATTAGATTTTTATATATATATATATATTTTTTTTTTTTTTTTTTTTATTATTATTTATTTATTTTTACGTGATATTTTTTTTTTAACTTCATATTTTTAGTTATGTATTTGTAATAACCATGTGTGATAATTTTTTTTTTTTTTTTGCTATAAGAAAAGGAAGGAGACTTGAAGACACAGATTGAAAAGTTGTGGCGGGAGGGTGAACTCATTAAAGGAAATGCAGGCTTTACAGACAGGTAAATATAACATTGTATTCTCAAAAGCTTGTCCGTAATAATGGTTTCAAATATTGGTTGTATGCTACATAAAAAAATTAATTATCAGAGATGATCTTCCATTAAAAAAATTACAAAAATGAGCTTATCCTGAGATATAGGCAGCGGAAGTTATGCATATAGTGACTTGCCACCCCCCAAGTCACTATACTGGTCTTTTATCATGACCAATAAGGAGGTTCAGGAAGAAGACAGGGTGTGGCCACACTTGACTTTTAGATCTCGTTCACATGGACATACTACAGCGCACACGCATGTGAGGGCTGTGTTTGCCTGCATGCATGGGCTGTACAAGTGTTCCATGCATCCCTGTGCAGGCAGTCCCATTCATGTCAGTTGGGGTGCAGGGGCACGGACACAACCACTGCTCCCAATTTGACATTTTATACACACCCCTATGGCTAGAAAGCAGAGCCATAGAAAGCAGTGTGCTTACAGTGTAAAGCACAGCACACAGAACACAGTAAACCCTTTGATCACCCCAGATGTTAACCCCTTCCTGCCCAGTGCCATTAGTACAGCGTCGGTGCTTTTTATTAGCACTGATCACTGTATTGTTATTGTTGTCACTGGGGATGTCAGTGACAGCTAGTTCCCCCCAGTGTCTGAATACCCGGCGCAGTCCTGCAGTCAGACTTTAAGTCGCTGATAGCTGCCATTACTGGTATAAGAAAAACAAATTCCATTATCTATACCGCCATTCGTAGACACTATAACTTTCATGTAAACTAATTCATTTACATGTATTGGGATTTTTTTTAGCAAAGACATGTCACAGAATACATTTTGGCCTAAATTTACGATGAAATTTGATTTTTAAAATTTTTTTACTGGACATGTTTAATAGCAAAAAGTCAAAAATATAGTGTTTTTTTCTCAAAATTGGCGGTCTTTTCTTTTTATAGCGCAAAAAATAATAACTGCACAGGTGATCAAATACCACCAAAAGAAAGCTCTATTTGTAGGAAAAAATGGACGTAAATTTCATTTGGGTGCAGTGTTGCATGACCACACAATTGTCAGTTAAAATAACGCAGCGCCGTATTATATAAAATGGCCTGGTCAGGGAGGGGGGTAAATCCTCTGGAGGGCAAATGGTTAAAAAAAAATTTTTTTGTACAAATGTCAGAAACATTTGTGCAAATTTAACAAAATGTTACCATGTTTTCAAATAGGTTAACACCTATGTCATTAGCTCCATCTAGTGGCCAAAATGCTGTATAACATTTTATTGCAGTGTTTCATTGGCATTTTGGCCACTAGATGGAGCTGATGATACAGGAGTTAAATCTTAACTTATCTCTCTATGGGCCAAGTCACACGCATGCGCGGCTCAGTGTACATGGCAGGAAGATACATTTATGGCAGAAGAGGCCAATAGGGTCTCTTCTGTCATAAATACCCTGCATGGCAGCTACCTGTGGATGGTGCCATGTCAGCAAGTGACCATACTGTCTGGGCACACTGGGGAAGATTTACTGGAGAAACTGGAGAACTCAAAATCTGGGGCAGCTCTGCATGGCAGCCAATCAGCTTCTAACTTTAGCTTCTTCAATTAAGCTTTGAGACCTCATGCACACTTAACGTTTTTACAGCGGCTGTTTTTGACTTTTGACGGTTTTTTCCACAGCCAGTAAACCCCCCAGCATGTTATCCTATGTGTCCATGTATACATAGACTGTAATCAAAGCTTTTTGGCTGGAAAAAAAAAAAAAACAGAACTAGTGGGTTTCTAGAGGAGTTTTTTAGCTGTAAAAAAGCTCTAATGCTGAAAAACGTGGCAAAACGCAATGAAATGCAGTAAAACGCCGCAAACTGGCGTTTTTGGACTTTTGTTTACCAAAAGTTTTTTTATTTTATATATATATATATATATATATATATATATATATATATATATATATATTTATATATATATATATATATATATATATATATATATTTTATATATTTATTTTATATTTAAAACACCAATGCAAAAATGCTAAAAAAAAAAAAGCTGAAAAACTCACATTGTTAACCTCTTCGCGACAGCCATATGCATCTGGGCCTCCCGGCACTGGGCCTAGAACGCCGAGCGGCCGCACAATTGTCCTCTATTAAAAAAGGACTTATGTGCTGAGAGCGCGCGCCCTGCACGCTCCCAGCACACATCTCCTCTTTCAATCGGGACCTTTCCCGATCATGTGACTGCCTGACGGCCGTCACGGCGGTCACATGACCCATGAGATGCCCCTGGTACCTTTCATGGGCTGTTTTGGGTGTGGTTTGATTGTGGGTGAGGACACAGGGGCCCCATGATCCCCTATTGCCCAGGGGCCCTATGAGTTGCCAGTCCGCCCCTGGTTGAAGGTCAATGATTCAGAAAGACATAACCCCCCATTGATGTACATGGCAGCCAGGCAATTAGCATTTCTAGAGGGAAATCTCAGCCTTTATATTTCTATCAGTACAGGACAGGGGCGCACTGACAACTCTTGGGGCCCCCGGGCAATAGGGGATCATGGGGCCCCTGTGTCCTTGCCCAAACTCAAAAAAAACTATGAAAAAAAGGTACCAGGGGCATCTCAATGGCCCCCCCCTACTGACCCCGGGCCCTCGGGCAGTGCCCGAGTTTCCAAATGGTCAGTCCGCCCCTGGTACAGGATAACTTTTACTGAACTGATGTACTGAAGGCTGGTGAATGGTGATTGTCTCCTTCCTCGTTGTGAACAGAAGCATCTCTGTCAGGCTCCCCCAATGAAACATATTCATTTCTGTCTGAAGTGCGGCTTTGAAGCCAAAAATAGCATTTCAGAAGCCTTATTTAAGAAAAAAAAGGGATTAGAAGCTGTCTGCAGGCTTTTCACGTCTTGATCTCAGCGGCTTGTTTTTAAACTGTGCTACGTCCAATTACCTGTGATCCTTCCCTATATTACAGTCCAACTCCAGCCAAAACATGTCCAATACACAGCAATATGAATAGGTATAGAAACCTAAAGGGGATCTCATCTTTCCCCACATTTCCAAAACCAAACGAAATAAAATCCATGCACACTAGCATTTTTTTTAAGCTCCTAGAAGCTATTAGCATTTTTTTTTCTGCCCCTAGAAGCTGTTATTAGCATTTTTTTCTGCCCCTAGAAGTTAAATGATGTTATCCCATGGGGATTGATTTACTAAGGCTCCTTTCACACCTGTGCAGTTTGCCTTTTGTCCTTTTTGCAGTGCTTTTCGCAGTTCATTTTGCATTTTTATACATGCATTTTTTATGTGTTTTGAAGCGCTTTTACCACGTTTTGTTCAGCTCTTTTTTTTTTTCAAAGTGGAATTTTTTTTTGCTGGACAGAATAAAAATGCAAAACGCAGCAAAAATGCTGCAAAAATGCACTACTATGAATTTCAGCAGATTCTCCATTGAACTCTTTTGTAGCAAAAAACGCTGCTTTTTGCTTTTTACCCCAGGTTCACACCTAATCATTTTCCGCAGCATTTTGCAGAAACGCAGTACGGTCCATTTTACAGGATTTCCTATGGGATAGGTTCACATCGCCGTGTTTTCACCCAGTGCGTTTTTTGGGAAGGGTCAGAGACTTTTTTTGAACGCAAAAACGTGCGTTTTGATTCAATAGACTGCAATGGAAATGTAGCAGAAAAGCATGTAATGCGTTTTTGCTGTGCTTTTGATGTAGTTTTTTAATGTGTTTATGATGTGCTTTAAATCTGCCGAGTAACATGATACATAAAAAAAAAAAAAAATGCAACAAAAAAAAACCGCAACACGCATCAAAAATGTAGCAAAAATGCAAGTGCGCTCAAAAAAACGTGAAACGCAATGCAGAAACGGCTCAAATGCAACCTGCATAGGTGTGAACCTAGACTTAAAAAGTCCCTGACCCTTTCTAAAAATGCAGCAGCTCAAAAAACCATAGATGTGAACAGGGGCAGACTGACAACTCATGGGGCCCCTGGGCAATAGGGGATGATGGGGCCCCTGTGTCCTTGCCCAAACTCAAAAAAGCCTATGAAAAAGGTACCAGGGGCATCTCATGGGGCCCCCTACTGACCCCGGGCCCTCGGGCAAAGTTTCCAAATGGCCCCCTACCTGACCCCGGGCCCTCTGCAGGGCCCACATCAGCCTGGATGGATGTGAACATGTTCCATAGGAAAGCCATGATAAATGGACTGTAGTGTGCAGGGGCGGACTGACCATTTGGAAACTCAGGCACTGCCCAAGGGCCCGGGTCAGTAGGGGGCCCCATGAGATGCCCCTGGAACCTTTTACATAGGCTTTTTTGAGTTTGGGCAAGGACACAGGGGCCCCATGATCCCCTATTGCCTGGGGGCCCCATGAGTTGTCAGTCCGCCCCTGGTAGTGTTTCTGCAAAATGCAAAAAAGCACTAAAAAACGCATTGGTGAGCCTAAAAAACAGGAGAGTGCAAAATCTGGTGCAGCTATGCATGGTAGCCAATCAGCTTCTAACTTCAGCTTGTTCAATTAAGCTTTGATGCAGCAAAACGCGGTGTAAACACGGTAAATGCCACAAACTGTCGCTTTTGGACTTTTTTTGACCCAAAAAAACCCATAAAACCCGCTAAAAAATGCTAATGCGGAAAATGCTGCTAAGCGCGGCAAAACGTCGCTAAACGCTAATGCAAAAACACTAAAAAAAGCTGAAAAACTCCCGTTTTTAACATGACATTACACAGCTAACCGTTACCAGCGTGATCAAAATGTCCCGTGTGCATGAGGACTTACCCCCGGTTCACATATATGTGGCCGCAAGGGCCGTGTTTTGCGCGGGCACAAAAGCCCATTCATTTGAATGGACTCCCGTGTCCGTGACACTCAGGGAAGAAGTCCCTGCACTTCTTCTGAAAACGCAGCCCGCGCGGGAACCTCGGTTCCCAGTACGGTTGTTGTTTCCAGTGCGGGCGGCGTGCCATTAGAACTAATGGCACCGACCCGTGGGTCCGCATTTCTCCATGCGGGTAGTGCGGCTGCACGGATTTTCGTGCGCATCCGCAGTGGCAACCACTCGCAAATATGTGAACCTAGGGTTATAGAGACTTGTCACCGGGACAGGAGTCCCATTCAGAAATGACCGCTCACCTTTTAAACTTTTGGATTTCCAATAACTTTCTAAATAGGGCAAATCTCCCTAGTGGGGACATAAATAGGGATAAAATCTGACGGGGGTTTTGACACTTCTGTACTCTATCCAAAATATAGACACACGCAGCCTGGTTCAGGAGTGAGCCCACACATGTGCCCCCATAGGAAGTGGTTTGATATGGGGGCACTCAGAGAAGAGGAGCAGACAGCATGTAAAGGGGACACCAAAAGTGGAGGTTTGGGGCTCATTAGGGAGATTTTTCTTGTTTAGAGAGCAGGGGTGGACTGACAACTCATGGGGCCCCTGGGCAATATGGGATCATGGGGCCCCTGTGTCCTTGCCCAAACTCAAAAAAGCCTATGAAAAAGGTACCAGGGGCATCTCATGGGGCGCCCTACTGACCCCGGGCCCTCGGGCACTGCCCAAGTTTCCAAATGGTAAGTCCGCCTCTGTTAGAGAGTAATAGGAAATCCAAAACTTTAAAAGGTCAGAGGTAATGTTTGAATGGGACACCTGTTCTGGTGACAAGTCGCTAAGCTCCTGTATTGGTCTGGCTCTGCACCCAGCTTCAGTTCTTCTCTCCCCTCTCTGTGCCCTCACAAGTTAGCTGAGAGTGGCTGGAACCATTGGCTCCTGCTGCTGTCAGTCAAATCTAGTGAGGATGAGTGGGGATGGGGACAAGCCGAGCTGTGTATGTTTATAGATGCACACAGCCCGGCTCAGGAGTGAGCCAACACATGTGCCCCCATAGGAAGTGGTTTAATATGAGGGCACTTGGAGAAGAGGAGCAGACAGCATCTAAAGGGGACCCCAAAAGTGGAGGTTTGGGGACCATTAGGGAGATTTTTCTTATTTAGAGAGTTATAGGGAATCCAAAACTTAAAAAGGTGAGAGGTAATGTTTGAATGGGACACCTGTTCTGGTGACAAGTCACTAAGGTCCTGTATTGGTCTAGCTCTGTGCCTGGCTTCAGTTCTTCTCTCCCCTCTCCGTGCCCTCAAAAGTTAGCTGAGAGCGGCGGGAAGCATTGGCTCTTGCTGCTGTCAGTCAAATCTTGTGAGGATGAGTGGGGGGGGGCCGAGCCGAGCTGTGTATGTCTATAGATGCACACAGCCCGGCTCAGGAGTGAGCCAACACATGTGCCCCCATAGGAAGTGATTTGATATGGGGAACTCAGAGAAGAGGAGCAGACAGCATCTGCAGGGGACCCCAAAAGTGGAGGTTTGGGGCCCATTAGGAAGATTTTTCTTATTTAGAGAGTTATATGAAATCCAAAACTTTAAAAGGTGAGAGGTAATGTTTGAATGGGACTCCTGTTCTGGTGACAAGTCGCTAAGCTCCTGTATTGGTCTAGTGCTGCACCCAGCTTCAGTTCTTTTCTCCCCTCTCTGTGCCCTCACAAGTTAGCTGAGAGCAGTGGGAACCATTGGCTCCTGCTGCTGTCAGTCAAATCTTGTGAGGATGAGTGGGGGCGGTGTCACGCCGAGCTGTGTATGTAGATGCACACACATGTGACCCCCTAGGAAGTGGTTTGATATGGGGGCATTCGGAGAAGAGGAATGGACAGCATTGGCAGGGGACCCCAGAGAAGTAGGTCCGGGGCCGCTCTCTGCAAAACCAGAGCACTTAAGTATAACAGGTTTGTTATAAAAAAAACAAAACACTGAAGCTTCACAATCACTTTTAGTAAATCAGCCTCAGAAGATAAAAATATAAGCTATAAAAAAGATGCACAAAATTGGATGATACATATAATCTGAGTATTTCCAATCATTCCTACAAGCCTGAAAAATTGTGCATAGAAAATGTTATTTGTAGAGAAAATAGACTAACTATGTTCAATCATTGCAATAGATCCCCATTAACAACAAAAACCACAACCTGTCTTACAGTGAGACTGATGGTTCTCTACAATTGTTTATTGAATCTGATTAAAAATGGCCTCATGGGTAATTGTATCAGTTGGGATTTCTACAATCCATCATCAGCATTATGATTGCTGCTCTGCAAAGTCCCATTTGAAAAGCCTGTGAACCAACAGCTGTATTTTATGAGCAAAATGCAATCTCAGTTTATGAGCAATCAGACAATTGAAATGCTGCGCTGCCACTCCTACAACTGCGAGACACTGCTTAGAGAAGTAATATATGTGATTTAAAAAATCTGTGGTTGTGTAAGTATATAGTGCTACAATGCACCTCCCTCTTCAGTGTATCAATGTGTGAACTAAACAAGAATGCCAATGATGTGTACCGTGTTGCAATGTACCTGTCTCCTTAATGGGTGTAATCCTACAAATCACAGTATTGCTCCGTACTACAATGCACCTCCCTCTTCAGTGTATCAGCCCTCATGCACACTGGACGCTGGTAACGCTAGCTGTGTAAAGTCACATTAAAAACATGAGTTTTTCAGCTTTTTTTAGCGTTTTTGCATTAGCGTTTAGCAGCGTTTTTGCCGCAACTAGCAGCATTTTCCCACGTTTTTCCACATTTGTGTTCTGTAGCATTTTTTTAGCAAAAAATTTTGTTTTTCTGGTTAAAGAAACATGCAAAAACACTGGTTTGTGGCATTTTACCACGTTTTACAGCGTTAGAGTGTTTTTACAGCTAAAAAAACTTCTCTAGAAACCCAGTAGTCCTGGGTGCAGCAGCATTTCAATTATCTAGTTAGCACACTTATTTGTGTTCATTGTTAGCAGCAGCCAGGGGCGGACTGACCATTTGGAAACTCGGGCACTGCCCTAGGTCAGTAGGGGGCCCTGTGAGATGCCCCTGGTACCTTTTTCATAGGCTTTTTAGAGTTTGGCCAAGGACACAGGGGCCCCATGAGTTGTCAGTCCGCCCCTGGCAGCAGCCTACAGGTTCCAATCTCTCTTTGTTTTCCGGTGTGCAGGATTCTGAGATATAGTACCAGTTTATGAGTGCCTCCTCCTAAACCATCATAAATGATAAGAATTGCCTTTATTTGCAGTCTGCCTGCGGGGTACCAAGATCCATAAAAAATGTTACTTGGCCTTTGAAGAAACCAAGCACTTCCATGAAGCCAACGAGGACTGTATAGCCAAAGGCGGAACGTTGGCAACACCAAGAGACGGGGATGAGAACAGTGCCCTTCGTGACTATGGGAAAAAAAGCCTCCCAGGGGCTGGAGATTTCTGGTTGGGCATCAACGATATGGTCAACGAGGGCAAATTTGTGGACGTTAATGGCATCGCTATCACTTATTTTAATTGGGAGCGCGCACCCAATGGAGGCAAGCGTAAAAACTGTGCTCTTCTTACCCAGGCATCCCAAGGAAAATGGGTCGATGAAGTGTGTCGTAGCTTAAAGAAATATATCTGTGAATTTATTGTTCCATAGAGGACACCTCTGGTTAGCTATAGTCAGGGCAAAAGGTGCATTTTGTGATCCATTTTGTGATCCATTTTAATGTGTTTCATCGTTTATAAAACAGAAAGGAAGCTGCAAGAAATGTACAGATACGCCTTTGTCGCCTTCTTACCCAAAACAGTCATTAGAATTTTATTTTTAGTCCTTTCCATGTTTAGGACTGCAGCTTGCTACAGTTTTTATTAACCTGCATTTATTTTTTTTTGAATATGGTTTATGAATGGATTGCGATTTTAATTCACATTTTTGTTGTCACAGTTTGTGTTGTGACAAATAAAAGATAAATAATAAAAAAAGCATCAAGAACATGGAAATTAACCAAGATGGTATACAAATGGAATGGAAATGAAAGATATAAAAAAAATATGTTCTGATATGTTTATACATAAACTGTAGAGATGTAGTTCTTTGCATTTTCTGCTTATTTTTCAGACTAAGCCCGGGTTCACACTGATGCGGTGCGGAATTCGCAGCGTTTTCTGTGTGAATTCCGCACCGCATCAGAATCGCACCCCGTTCATGAGAACCGCTGTGGGTGTGTATGTTAAAGCAGAGCTCCACCCAAAAGAGGAAGTTCTGCTTTAAGGACTGCTCCCACACTCCCCATTAAGGATTGGCACCTTGGGGGAGCAGGTACCCGAATTTGACAAGTACCCACTCCCACTTCTGGTTTAATCGCCTAGGCGGCCTACCTCCCTCCCTCCCTGTAGGGACACATGACAGGTCTCAGAAGACTACAGGACCATTCATGAAGCGCAGCGCTTCTCGCGCATGCGCAGTAGGTACCAGGCTGTGAAGCTGCAAGTTATCACAGCCGGGTGCCCACACTGAAGATGCCGGCCTCCTGGAATACAGGATGGCCAGTGAAATGGGCTGTGGGGGACACACCACGGGTCCGACGGACAGGTAAGTGGCTGTTTTTTAAAAGTCAGCAGCTACAGTTTTTGTAGCTGCTGACTTTTTATTTTTTGACAGGGTGAGTGGAACTCGGTTTTAAGTTAACAACACCCCAAAAGTGGTCCGCAAAACGCAGTGCAATGTGCAGAATCGGATCGCATAGGTGTGAATATCCATGCGATCCGACCCAAAAAAGGGTCCTGCATGCGCGGGTGCGGTGCGATTAGAGCCATACAAAATGTATGCGTTCGGGCTGCATTCCGGGGGTTGGGGACCTCTGCTGTAGTAGACACCGCTACTCCAGTCATCTCCACTAGCTTGCAGGTCCCATGCAGAACAGCTGCCCTTCGGCATTCTTAATACAGGAGCAGGGGTGGACTGACAACTCATGGGGCCCCCGGGCAATAGGGGATCATGGGGCCCCTGTGTCCTTGCCCAAACTCAAAAAAGCCTATGAAAAAGGTACCAGGGGCATCTCATGGGGCCCCCTACTGACCCCGGGCCCTCGGGAAGTGCCCGAGTTTCCAAATGGTCAGTCCGCCCCTGTACAGGAGGTTGGTTCTGGGAAAGGCACCATTCAAACGGTTCTAAACTCCTATCCGCAAGCTCTTTTTCAGCCCATGTGCATGTAGCACACTTGATTGGCTCCTAGTGATTCCTCTCCCTTTCCCAGTCTAACAAAAAGTCTTATTCCGGTACTCACTGTATTTGTATTTAAAGCTGCAATTAATTATTTTGTAATGTCTATATAACTTCAATCATTTGTGTTACTTTATATGTGAGCATTTTTATATTTTAAAAGAACATTTTCTTAGAGAAGAGTAAATATACAGTTATAGTTGGTAGTAGTAAGTCACATTTATGTGGACTCTAATGAGTGTCAGGAACATACCCCAACCTTTGTAGCCACAAGGGCAACTCAATCCTCTTAATTCAATTATCATAGAATGTGTCAAGGAAGATATTCAAGACTGTCAAAGGAGGCGTAAAAGTTTGTAAAACCAACACATAATCCTCTCCTAGGTTGGCAATATGTCTGGGGAATGTGTTAATTGTTCTATTCACATGGCTGAAGGTGTGAATTGTCTTCAAATTGCCAGGGTAGAAATAGTAAAACGTGATATACATGGGTGACAGATGGTGTCAAAAACTAGGTTCACAATTAACTATTATCACATGGTGTCTGTGGAATTGATCTTATTGTGGTTGTTGGGTGAAAAAAGGAATTTTCTTCACCGTTAAGGCAAAGTTAGCCAAAGAACATTCGTTATGTCCTCCTACGGATTACAAATTCCTTAGATTTCAAGTGGCATAACTTAAAAGTTGTGTCTGTTTTCAGACTAGTTAACTATGTTATTATGGAAGGATGAACACATGGCTGAGAACTGAGAAACCTCAGTAATAGAATGTGTTTATTCTAAAAATCAATGTAATTTGCTAATGCTCTATGTCTACTGGCATTATGTCTAAAAAAGCAGAACAAAAATAGAGCTGTATGTGGACCAGCCAAAATAAAGTCCCAGGTGTCAACATCTGTCTGTGTAACATGTTCCAGCTCTCCCAAAGTTACAATCATCTGCTATGTGGCCTTGGCCCATTGCAAGTACAAGTCCTTCGCTTTGGTCTACAAATGAATAACTTAATTCTATCCCATATTACTATTTTAAAGGGCAGTCATATTCACAATCCTTTATTTAAAGTGACTAAGTCAATTTCTACTCTAATATAGATCATCTTTATACAGTGAAGGAAATAAGTATTTGATCCCCTGCTGATTTTGCCTGTGGTCCCAGCTGCCTGGAGATCATTGACAAGATCCTCACATGTAGTTCTGGGATGATTCCTCACTGTTCTCATGATCATTGACACTCCACGAGGTGAGATCTTGCATGGTGGACCAGAACCCAGAGAGACTGACAGTTGTTTTGTGTTTCTTCCATTTGCGAATGATTGCACCAACTGTTGTCACCTTCTCACCAAGCTGCTTGGCGACAGTTTGGTAGCCCAGTCCAGCCTTGTGTAGGTCTACAACCTTGTCCATGACATCCTTGGACAGCTCTTTGGTCTTTTCCATGGTGGAGAGTTTGGAATCTGATTGTTTGATTGCTCCTGTGGACAGGTGTCTTTTACACAGGTAAAAAAATGAGATTAGCAAAACTGCCTTTAAGAGACAGCTTCTAATCTCAGCTTGTTACCTGTATGAAAGACACCTGGTAGCCAGAAATCCTGCTGAATGATAGGGGATCAAATACTCATTTCCCTCATGAACCTGCAAATCAGTGCATAATTTGGTAGACATGCATTTCTATCAAATTTTTTGTTGCTATTCTGTCTCTCAGTGTTACAATACACATACCATTCGATTTTTAGACTGATCATTTCTTTGTGAGTGGGCAAACATTCAAAATCAGCAGGGGATCAAATACTTATGTCCTTCACTGTAGAATAGGGTTTCTCAACCAGGGTTCCTCCAGAGGTTAGTAGGGGTTCCTTGAGCAGTGAGCAATTTCTGCCTTTCAGATAAGTTCCCACTGACACCATTGATCTTTTTTAGCTATCTGCAAGGGGAGTAATTATTCCCAAAGACCACAAATGTAAGGAGCATTCTTCCCACTGACCAGATATTAATGTATCATGAGTTGTAGATATAGTCATTTTTAGCAGGGGTTTCCTAGGACCAGAAAGATATTTCAACGATTCCTCTGTGTTGAAGAGGTTGAGAAAGGCAGTTATAGAGTACCAGAACGTGGCAGAGCTGTCTAAGTGAGTTATCTGGATTAGAAAACTACTTGAACATAAATTTTCACTTTTTTTTTTTTTTTGGCACATAGCGGTTTGACCAAATTTGACCAGCTCTCCATTTAAAAAGAATTACCTTTCATTCGCTTCTCAGCTTGCTTCTCAGTGGAAAAGAATATCCAGTACCTCCGGGTATAGGATGACCCATTCCACTTCCTCCCTTGTGACTACACTGGTGCAGGGGCGGACTGACCATTTGGAAACTCGGGCACTGCCCAAGGGCCCGGGGTCAGTAGGAGGCCCCATGAGATGCCCCTGGTACATTTTTCATAGGCTTTTTTGAGTTTGGGCAAGGACACAGGGGCCCCATGATCCCCTATTGCCTGGGGGCTCCATGAGTTCTCAGTCTGCCCCTGCACTGGTGCTTAGTGATTGGTCGATCCGGTACCAGCAATGCCAAATAGGGATGGGGAGAGAACTTTCAGTCCTATGAAAGCTCTGTCTGGGATCATCTTGAAGTTCACGTGGGGCTTGCTGTCCTCACTCCCACCATGAATTGATTTACATTACCTGGTAAAGTTATGAGGTGGTCAGGTGGAAAACATTGCCAAGAGCATGCTGCAGGCAAAAAATGGAAAGCAGGCAAGCCACACTATACACTTTAAGGCCTGTTTCACATGAGGCAGGCTCCGTTTAGATCAGTAGGAGATCCAGGGACGGACTGACAAATCAGGGGGCCCCCAGGCAATAGAGGATCATGGGGCCCCTGTGTCCTTGCCCAAACTCACAAAAGCCTATGAAAAAGGTACCAGGTGCATCTCATGGGGCCCCCTACTGACTCCGGGCCCTTGGGCAGTGCCCGAGTTTCCAAATGGTCAGTCCGCCCCTGAGGAGATCTGTCCATTGATCCCCTGCTAATTGGAGCAGAGTGGGTGGATGACATGTCCATGTCCGTTCAGACCAACATGGACAGAGCCCTCTCTGCTCTATGGGTGGTTGAGTATAAATGGACTTTGTTGTTTGTTTACACCCAACTGCCCTCTGATCTGATCCACCTAGACAGATCTTTTTTTTTTTCGCAAACTGGATTGGATTGGAGATAGGAGTCTGTTTATACTCCCTGGTCCAGGGGGTGAATGGAGGGTCCGATCACGTCCTATAAAACTGACAGGTAGACCTTTCATGTGAAAGGGGCCTAAGAGGGGAAAAACATGGCCTTTTTTTGAGAGAGCTCTGATTTACAAACTCTACTGGGTCCTATAAAGTCTACAAGGAGGGTGTATTTATCTCAAGTGTAATTTAGAATACAACAGATTGTAGCCACTTATACTAATCATGCATACTTGAAGTGCACTTTATATAAATTATCCTGTAGTGACTTGCTACACAAAAGTACCTTAGTACATGCAAGTAAAAATAACAACATTAGCAAAATGAAAACATAAAAAAACTTTATTCGTATTGAAAAAAAAACCAACAAAATAAAATCAAACATGGTTGTCTTTTCAAAACCGGTTTAGCCCTTTGCAAGTATTATTGTTTTCATTTCTTCTGTAACCCTTCATCCAGTTTTATCAGCATGTGAAGGCAGCCATTTTGTATAAGTAGTGATACTGGATCAACTATGATGGTACAAATACTGTATGTCCATCAAATAGCAGGTAATTGGCTTACCCACACACTTTGGGGTTTATTTATAAAAATATGCTTTTCATCCTGTAAAACTATATGTATTCATTCAGTGTGAACGGGGGAAAAAAAAGGTAATCTTGGGATATCTTCTCTCCTGATTGAATGTTTTTTTTTCATACAGAATACAGTGATTTAGGAAAATACTGTATTACAGCCACTAGATGGAGCTGATGATCATAGGAAATATTTATTACCATCATAGTCCTAAAGACTACTGGCTGCTTCAAATCATAAAAGGGCTGCCTCCAGTGTTCCTTGGTAAAATGATGCATATTGACCTTTACAGTCGTGGTTGGATTTGTGCACTTGGTTATTCAAATACTGAAGCAGCCAGTCCACTGAATTTGACGTCTTCTACCACTTGCTTGGAGTGCTTTATTTTAGCTGACAGGGCTTCAAACACATCCCTTTGGTCCACAGCTATAGCCACTTTGTAAATAAACTCTTCTGAGGATTCCAGGCCTCGTAGACCTAGGTTAACGCCACAACCTGTAACAAGGTAGAAGATACATCTTAGCAACAAATGAAAATACATTCTACACATATTCACTGGAAATACCCCACCTGCTTAGATACATGACTACTGCCAAGGAGGAAGAAATGGGCAACCTGGAAAACAAAGGCCAGCTCCAAGGAGTTAGAGAGGTCCACTTTAAATTTTTACAGGCTATGGAAATGTAACCATATATTATTATTGTACAGAATACCTTCATGGATATTTTATGGAGATTTCCTTTTACTCCCTGTCCTGAAAATGCAACACACAGTAAGATGTTGTCTCTCCAAAGTGAAAGAAATTCCAATCTTAGTTGCCCCTGGAACATTTTTTCCCAAATGGAAAATTTCCCCTCACTAGTTCTGTTGACAACTCTAAAATTCTGTATGTCTCCCCCTTTTCTGTCTCAGTAATAATGGTTGCCAGGTGGATTAAAGGGGTAAATCTACCAAGCTAGGACACAGATGGCAATATAAACTTGACCTTGAGGATCTAACCCTTCAGAATTTTTTCCCATGAGCCTTTGTTATTGTAAACCTGCTGCTATGGCTGAACTTATCTTCACTCATAGCTCCAATGTTTTACATAGACTGGTTGTCGATATTTGAGATTTTTAGCT